ATCACTAGAACTTTGGTATTTCCCCCCTTATATACCTCAGGAAAGGAATCGTTGACGGGCAGTGTACACATACACACATACAGGGGATGGGTAAAATAATGGTGAACATATACGAACTGGGAAATACACTACAAAGTGTTCACGTTATTTTATCTATCCTCTGTATATAATACTTTCGTAATCTTTTTAAACGTAAATAACTTAATTAGACCAGTACAGGAATTGCATTTTAATGTCGAAAATATATTTAATTTATCTGCAAATATTTTTTGTATATATTAGGTCTATTTAAAATAAATTAGCGTATTCACACGTAGAGGAGTATAAGTATGAGAAGTATAAGTATGAGTATAAGGAGTTAGAGGAGTATGCATATAATTTTTAAACGTCAGCAACATAGCGGCTTCACTGAGCTGAACTTAGCAAAGTTATACACAATAGATACACACATGCCAGCAACCACATTTCAAGGATAATTCTTAGAAAGAATGCAATATTGTATATAATTCTTGTTTTTCGAATAACTTACCCGAAATAATTTTAAAACGGAACAACATTACTGTATCTTCGCTTTATTTTGCGAATGTATAATTAATATACGGGGACTTGGTATATAAATGCACGTTATAAGTATATATGATAATCGTCTGGAAAATAGGATTCTACTAGGTATAATAGTCGTTCGGTATATACGATCTCTTTTGCGTTAACGAAGCTGAATTATAACATTGTGTGTTCAACAATGGGAAACGAGACCAAAAATATTGCGTTTTTATGTTGCGTAATTGTTTTCCTAATAAATTTTCTTTTTGTAATTACGTTCCCTCTGTTCAAAGTTATTCTGTTCTATCAGTACATCGTTATATATGTATACACTTATACATCATATAGTATATTATATATTTTTGTATGCTTATTTTTATGATAAATGTTTATTTTTACATCACGAATGCATATTTATGGCAAAGATATTTTCGCGTTGAGCCAACCAACCAATCAATTAACTTTCGGATATATGGCGTTTTTTTTTTTTTTAGATATCTGCGATAAAATGCATTTGTGACAATCGGTACGTGTACCCTGGGCAAAATAACTTTGACATAATACTGTACAAAAAGTAGCGATTCATATACACATGTAATGACGACAATTATAATACGAAATAAAATTTCAAAAGAGAAAAACGGTTTTTTAACGGCATTCCATGCGCATGTGATCTTTGCACGTCCACTTAACGATAAGAACAGCGTGATAAAAGAAAACGGCACGTGAGTTAATTGCGTCGTTTAACAAATAAGAAAAATGAGTTATCTCTTCTTTCGTGTTTGTAATGCATAACGCGCTTGCCTAAAAATTGCATTCAAATAAAGTAGATGATAAAAACTTGCGCGGTATGAACCTGACGGTTAAAGACTTTTTTAATAACAGCGCAGTAAGACTTAGTTTGCTCAACTGGAATAAATTAGGTATGTGAAATAAAATTTTTATTGAACTAATGCAAATTAAGAAATAATTAACGCGCGTTAAACATATGCGTTTCCATAGGTTACTCGAATCAAACGCGTGCTTTTTTCAAACGCACGTGTTTGATGTGCAATTTTACACGCGGCAACGCGTGCGCGTGCATGGAAACCAGTAGAGTAAGATTCTAGGGCTCCCAGACGTAACTTATTTTGTGAAAGACAAAATGTGGGACATTGAGTAGTGTTCATATGAACTTTGAATACCTGCGTACCTGCAAAGGTGGTTAGACGGCCGATTTACAGGTACCAGGTGAGAAAGGTAAGTAAAAATAGGACTAACTTAACTTAAATTCTGACAGCTGATTTTTATATATACTTTATAAAATATTATTACAAAATAATATTCAACACTGCCAGACACTTTCCGCCGGCCATAACTTCCGCCAGACGCTTTAAAGCTCCCTAAAATAAAAAAAAAAAAATGAACTTTACTTACATTCTGACGCTTGATTTTTATATATGTTACTTAGCGGACTATTTCAAAACTACATGTGCTTAGCCAGACAAATCGTAAGGGCCAAACATCCCCCCAGACACCAAAAACATTCAGCCGTGAGTATGAGCGCGAGGGTACTATGTTCGCGTTTTAGAGCGAGTGAGATATCTATGTGAACTAATTTACCCCTCTTAAACTCAGTCTTATAATATCTATGAAGATAAGTCAGAAAAAAACACCGTCCTTTTTGCTTCCTCGTAGAGGAAGCTTTGTTTTCGTGAATTTCATATATGAACCTTTGATTGCGCATAAAGTTGGGTCTAGTCAATCAAATTTAAATGAATTATATATGAAATAGGGGTAGAAGAAACCAACGAAGAGATTGCATGGTTTCTGAGTTTTTTCTGCCAATATGTTCAGAGTGTTCTAAAATGTCGAAATATCGCATTAAAATTGCATGTCTGTATGTGTGTATGTGCAGATTTAATGTCCGTGATTGCTCTAACTTCCGCAAATATTGAGATATCGGGCAGTTTTTTTTTTTAATCGATAGAGTCTCGTTCAAGGAAGGTTGGTATTGAATTTGGCGATAATCGGTAAAAAAAAGGGGTTCTTTTTTAAAAAAATTTTAAATTTTTTTAGAAATGTCCGTGGTTGCTCTAACTTCCGCAAATAATGAGATATCGATCTATTTCTAATTTTATTATATTCTTCAGTTTTTTCTACCCCTATTTCATATATAATTTTTTAAGATTTGGTTGATTAGACCCAGCTTTATACGCGATCAAAGGTCCATAATTTTGATCGCATATAAAGCTAAGTCTAATCAACCGAATTTAAAAGAATTATATATGAAATAGGGGTAGAAAAGACTGAAGAATATAATAAAATTAGAAATAGATCGATATATCTATACTTTCGTAATTTTTTAGATATCGAAGTGCATTTTTTTTTAATCGATAGAGTAACATGTAAGGAAGGTTGGGATTGAATTTGGCAATGATCGGTAAAGCGGTTCTTTTTTAATAAAATTTTGAATTTTTGTAGAAATGTTTGTTTATGCTTTAACTTCCGCAAATTTAGGGATATCGATCTATTTCTAATTTTACTATATTCTTCAGTCTTTTCTACCTCTATTTCATATATAATTCTTTAACATTTGGTTGATTAAACCCAGCTTTATACGCGATCAAAGGTTCCTAATTTTTAGAAAAATGTCTGTAATATAAATAGCTCTAACTTCCGCAAATTTTAAGATATCGGTCTATTTTTAATTTTATTATATTCTTCAGTCTTTTCTATTTCTATTTCATATATAATTCTTTAAGGCCGGTATTCATAATCGAGTCTTATATCCAAGATCGTCTTAAGTATAGTCTTAAGGCGTCATCAGCCAATCAGAGGGCCGTATTAGCATCTTAAGACATCACTTTCTCTATGAGGAAGCCAAATGCAAATTTTTTTAATTACATTTTCTTCAACAAAAACACATTTCATCAAAAACAGCTTGATGGAGTTGACGAACATCATGCCACTTTGTTTTAATTGTTTTTTTCTTTGACGATGTTTTATAAAAATATTCCAATTGACAATTTTTGTGATAATATATTTTTGTATGAATACAATTTTTAACTTTATTAATCAACTCCGCAAATGTTTCGTCTTCTTCATCTATCTTATTCAGAAAATCGTTTTTATTAGATGAATGTAATGGCAGTCTTTTTGATCTATGTTTTTTTGTCTCTATAATTGATTATTATGTTTAATTATAAGAAAAAAAGTGAAAATATTACGTGTATTTAGAAATTTTTCATTTTTCGGTAAATTTTACTGTCAGAACAATATGGCAACGCTGCGCTTTTCAGGGCGCCGATTGTAAAATGTCAAGTTGATAACAAAAGTGTCAATGTAAGTGTCAATTTCATTAATCAAAGAATATTGTGACATTTTTTTTTATCAAAGAGAGATATTATTTATAATAATAATGAGTGATAAGAAACATAAAATGAGGAGTAATGTGGGCAAAAATAAGGGACAATTTGTGAAAATAAAAGTTGATAATAAACCGTTACGGGATGAACTGAAGTGTGACATGAGCGCACAGCTTGCAGCGTTGCCAAATAATTCCTTGAAAGTCGCCATTAAAAATATTCATCTATAAACCACATTTCAAGTCAACTTTTAACATAAATATTGGGTTGGCAAATAAGTTCGTTCGGTTTTTTCCAGTCAAAACCAGTCAAAAAACCGAACGAACTTATTTGCCAACCCAATATTTTGTTTAAACATTCGGTGACTCTGTATTTTTATCGGCACTATCGAAAGTATAGAGTTTAGCGCATATGTAGCGCAGTTAATATTTAATATTTTAAGATATTTGATAAACAAATTATTACATTGAAATGTGGAAAATAGATTTTTTCGATAACGTCACATATAAAATATCGAATTTTCAAAAGTCATAATTCTTCTTTATATGTTCGGTAATGTGGTTTAATTTTTTTCTGGCGTAAAGATATGCATTTTAACTTTCTCGTACCAAAAAATTAGTTAATTCTTAAGACTTTGGTGTCATGAAAGGAATACCTTAAGTAAGGTAAAGTTGTTACGGTGGGGCGCTGTCGCGACGGCGAACGCCCCTGGCGCGAGCACAAACAGCCCTCGGGGTTGACCCGAATTCGCCCGAGATCACCCGGTTGTCGCGCCTACAGTTCCGATATGCAAATGGGCGCGTTCAGCAGACCAAGCCGCTCAGTAGCAGTCGAACATGATTGGCTCTTACTTTTAGAACCAACCAATCAACGTAGAGTGTTGATAAGACGAACTCAACAGTTGTGTCTGCTGAACGCGGCCAATGTAAAACGCGCACGCGTTTCCTAATTCGCGTATTCCGCGCAACGCGTTACATCGCGGATCGATGTGATTCGTCACCTAACTTCGTGGATCGACGTGATTCGTCCTTCGTGAATCGTGAGGCAACGACCCCCGCCGAGGGTCTTCTATCGGGACGAGGACGAGGGATGATTGATATCGATCCGCGGACCGCGCTCTCTTCCGTTTCTGTCGTGCGTCGTGCTACTCGTGCTAAGGAGAAAGTCGAGCCGGCCATTCGTGCCGGTCAATTATATTATCGGGAGTGCCGAAAGTAATTGCGCGAAGTCCGTAATAGTTTCATCGCGAGCCGCACCCGCTCGAGTGATCGGTGGTCGCCGCGTGAAACATCTCAGATAGCTTTTCCGTTCACGGAAGAGTGAACGGAGAGAGTGAGCCGGTTTTCGTCGCGCGCGAATTCTGGAAAATTGAGTGCGCTCAGTGCATCCGTGCAAAGGGTTGCATCGTGCGCCCAAGTTTCGTCGTAATCTGCACCTGCTCGATTGATCGTCGCGCGAAACATCTCTTTTCCCGAGTTTTCGTCGCCCGTAATACGACGGAACGAGGCACACAGACGGATCACGTGATCACCGCGTGCGGTAGCGTGATCCTTGGCGAAAGACCCGTGTCGACGGCGAAACCGTCCCACGAGATGAATCCGGTTTTCGCGAGTGCCTCTATCTCGAGCGTCGCGATCACCGGGTGAGAGTTGGCGGATCATTTCTCATAAAATCAACGCCGGGAGTTCGATCCTGATATCGACCCCGCTCGCGGCCATCTTGTCGTGCCGCGCCGTACATTGTGAACGCGGCTCTACCGCGCCCGTGCCTCGTACCTCTGTAATTTATTGTAAAATGTAAAATTCGTGCCCGCTATCGCGTCATCCCCGAGTAACCCAAGTGAGCCTGAGTCTCTCGCACGTCTCCGTGTTCGCGGTTGCTCATCTGCCTCGCGAGCAAGATATCCGTCGGTCGCGTTCAAGATCTCCGAGCGCGAGGACGGTATTCAATCGCTCTTCAAGATCTCCGTTTCGCGAATCTACGTGCGCGGACCAGTTCGGACGCAGTAGGCACTGGAGGCACGAGATCGCTCCCGGATGACCCGGATACCGGCAGTCTCGGCAGTCCCGGTTTGTCGATGCAGAACGTTAGATGTAAGTTTTCTCGGTCGTTTTTTTTCCTTTTCTTATTTCGTTAGAAGCATCCCAAATATGCCAGTTATGCTGCAAGATTATCCTCATTTGACAGATGGCCTAAAGCAATGTTGCAAACTAAAGAGACTAGCAACTGCTGGTTTCTATTACACGGGAAGTGGCGATAAAACATTGTGCTATTACTGTAATGGAGGATTAAGGTATTGGGAGCCAGAAGATGATCCGTGGGCAAGGCACGCTAAGTGGTTCGAATACTGTCCTTATCTGATTTTAACTAAAGGGACGGAATTTGTAAGCAGCATTACCGGGAGAACGTACGTCGGAGCGGTTAGTATTTAACAAAATATATTTTTATTAGAATTGTACAATTTGTATATTTCAATATTTGTAATAAATATTCCCATCTGTTTAAAAAATAATGTAATAATTGTGTTGAATATAATAACATTTATTTTAAGTTATTTATTTATTTTTTTTTTAGGATAGCATATTATTGGCAATTAATAAATTCGAGAATATTGAGAAATTCTATTCTGAAGAAACTAATACTGCAGAAGTAAGTGCCGTATCAGGAGAGGCTAGCAGCGAAGAACAATTTGTCCAAGGTGACGAGCCATGCGACAAGGATGCAAGATCATTCAAAATTTGCTACACTAGAGAAGTACGGATCGTATTCATGCCGTGCGGACATTGGCGTGTGCGGAGTGTGCGAAAAATACGAAGATATGCGGCGTATCTCGTAAGTCTGTTGAACGTACTGTACAAGCGTACATGTCATAGTGTCTTTATCCATGTGATAAATAATCCGCGGATTCTGCTGTAAAATTTTGTACTTATCATTATAAAAACTGATACTCTCGAACAAAACTGAATGACAGGACTCATGTAGCATACCGATCAGCAGGTACAGACTATACAATGTTGAAACTCTCATTAATGAAACATTAACTTCACGATTATCGTGGTTTTCAATAGAAAGGATTTTCTATTGAGACCACAATTCTATCTCGTATTCCGTTATAATATTAACAAATCGTGAATGTACTTTGTAATCGTTGTACAAGAAGTAATAGATGTTCCTATATTCAAATATATATACATATATATGGCTATATAATCGATATTGCAAAATTGTTAGTCGGTGTGTAAAACACATATGGCATATCACAAATTTTCATATTTTAACTATCAAACGACGCAAATACAGGAAGTCGTTAAAATCAGAAAAGATAGATTGTACCTGCAACGGAACGTTGCTATTTGAACGTTTTTGAGTTTATATTGTTCCCCCAATTCCATATTTGCTGAAAAAAAAAAAACAAAAAACATTGTGATGTAAGATAAAGATAAAGCGGCACCATATTGGACGAGTACAAATAGCAACACGACATGAAGTCTAGTCATTAGTATTATATGATGAGTAATGATGAATAAGACCATATATATACATAAAAATGTGTGTAAGTTAACGAATATCTCAACATTTAGTTTATGATTTCGCCTGTATAATAGACTGAGCATTTCCATTCGAGAGCTTCTGACAAGACTGAAGGACAAAAGATATGTTTGCTGAGATTGTTTCTCCATCTTTCCTTCTTTCCAAAAGGTTAGAAAAGAAAAGCGTCTCAGCAAGCATATCTTTTGTCCGCCAGATCTTGCTAAAAGCTCTACAATTGGCAATGTTCAGTCTATTATATACGTTTATGTGATCGCCAAACGTTTCGATTCGTATTGAATCTTCCTTAGTGGCAAATTGAAGAGCAATATATGTTATAATGAAGAAATTTAGTTTAATCAGCCTGTTTTTTTTCCTAATTTCTATTATAATCTATTAGACATGCTTCGTTGTAGTTTATACATATTAATGTACCGCAAATTATTAAACGCATTATTGTCCATAAGTGTAAAATATTGTAACTTAAACATAACAAATCTAAGCACACCAGGGTACGGTTGATAAAAATCAACTAGTGTTGATAATACAAAATTGACGCAATGTTCAGTTTCAAGGCTCTCGACCTATCGTTATTATGGATCTCGCAACGTGAGATAAGCTTTTGACCGTCGATAGGGTACGTTCCACTTGGCGCTCATAACGCTGAGCATCATTCATCCTTGACAAATAACAAGGATAAAATGAAGCGAAGCGTTGCGAGCGTTAAGTGAAATAATGGACAATTATTATCTTTAAAGCGACGTAAGAATTTGTTGATGTTGTTTATCATTTCATATAGGTATAATATGGCCAATAAATTTAATTTAATAAATCTAAGATTAAGAAACGAGGAACTTTTAGTATACTCGATAATACATAAAGGATGTAGCTCTTAGGCTGCATTGGCGCACATTTATAAGTATATTTACATTATTCTTTCACATAAGATTGCTATTGCATCAAATAAGCCTCAGACTTGGTCATTCTACGTAAAACCAAGGTAACAAAAGGTTTGTTCGCGTCGCATGCCCCACCATGCTCCTAATCCACTCCAA